ATCGGAAATCTTCAGATATTTGACAAGGAACCTTTACAAAGATCGAACATTACAAATCATTTAACTTCAGTGAATTCTCATCGGACAATAGTATTTTTACGAAAACATTATATAAATTCATCTTAGAACACTCGGCGTGTGTGGCTGGTAAATAACGAAGGACAAAGCTAGCTAGCTTCCTGTTAAGTGAATTATACCTACGTCAACTCGTAATCAACTCACTCATTGTGAACACTTGATAAGATATCAAAGAAGTTTCAGACCAAAAGGAAGACTTTATATTGCTTGTAAGTTTGTGAAACTTTTGTTTATAAATCATTGTTTGTAATAACTATTTGTAATAACTGTTATTGTAAATTGTATTGTTGTGTATATATTAAACGTATTTGTGTTAAAAAAGAAAACTGTGTGTATCGATCTTGTTGGCAAATATCATAAACTGACTATATATTGGCTTTTACTTAACTACTAAATCCAAAGTATAATTTAACTATTAAATTTAAATTTATCAGTTAAATCAATTTCAGACTATTTGAAATTCTAATACATAACACATGTGAAATCAACAAACGTAGTCAAACTCATCATTCTTGTAACATGTTAAATCATGATGAATGTGTATGGTTATATTTGAGATTTGCATTGACAAGAGTGAATACATTTATTGTTCAATCTGTGTTTAATCGAAGAGTAACACAGTTAAATTTATCAGGTCCTATCAATGAAACTTTCTGAAATTCTGGACAGAAATATGACTTTATCCATGACTTATAATATAGTGCTTGTATCCTACCTTTGAAGATTATAAGAACAAAGAAAATCTGTAAAATAACTGTGATAACAACAAAAAAATTATTGACTAAATATTTTAATTTGTCGTTTCTTATGATAAAAGACAAGAAAATACATATCTTTTATACCACATTTTATAAATCCATCATGTTTACTGGCTATCATTACAGAATAAACTTTACAACAAAAACAAATTGTATACCTACTATACATTAACTCTGACAATGAAGGAGTGGTTTGGTAGGTCACCGAACTTAACATTCAGCAAAACAAATGTATACATTCTTATACTTTACATAATATTTTAGAAATATAAATGTACATTCACAAAATTCGCAATATTATTGATAATTTTGAACTTGAACTTCTAAGTTTTCAAGGAGATTTATTTTTAATAAATTCTATGATATCTGAAAATATGTCAATATGACTAACTTTCCACCTATAAAATTATAATACAAAACTATTGGTACAAGATTTCACACGTGTTTTTATATTTCTGAACGAAACACAATATTCAATAATAAATCATTTTGCTTACCTCGTGATAAAACTGCATAGCCCACACATCCAAAAGGTAAAAGTATTAAGAACAATGACGACACCAATTACAATTACAATGATTAAATCCTTATTGGCCTTTTCTTCGTTATGAGGGAGTACGATTTGCTCGACAGAACCTAATAATACAAATAAAGACCAACTTTTACTAATTTTTGGTGAACAGTGATTTCTCCATGTTCTACGTCATAAAATGAAATTGTCTTTAATTGCTATTTTTTAAGCAGCTGTAGAATTTTTAGTCATCTATTCTTCCTGTTGTACCTTTTTTAGCAGTCTACTTTTTTTAGCGTCAAAAATAATTTTAGCTAATGATCTCCTATTACATTTTATAACTTATTGTGAGAAACAATGGCTCAGTGGTAAGTCTAAGGGCTTAAGTCGCTAAAAATCGGGTTTCGATGGATACCCGTGGTGGGCACAGCAGAGATAGTTCTTTGTGTAGTTTTGTTTAACAGAAATAGACTACCACGTTTCTTTCACTCACAAACAGTTACAGTTAAACAGTAAATGTCACGTCAGGTGATACTTTATTCTATTGTTTAGAGTGACTTGGCCCGGCATGGCCAGGTGGTTAGGGCGCTCGACTCGTAATCTGAGGGTCGCGGGTTCGAATCCCCGTCACACCAAACATGCTCGTTCTTTCAAAGAGGGAAGGCTGTCAAGTGGGTTGCATCCTTGACGTAAGAAACAGCTTTAGAAACGATGGCAGAGCAAGAGTGACTTAAAGTTCTTCTATTAATCATACTATTAAATAGCGATTCAACATTTAAACTAGCAATTACTACATTCCAATCAAAATTTAACTCTTTGATGTTATCAACAAGCTCAAAGCTGCCCTTTCAAGGTATGCTCATTACACACAAATTCCTTTAAATCATTAATCAAGAATTTGACTAGTAATATAATTTTAAAATTCCATATTTGATATGATAGATCTTACTGGACAATTTAGTTTATGTATTTTTGAAAATTCACAAAGTATGTCAACATGTGAACCAAGGGAAAACAATTCAATTGCAATGCTTTTATGTAGGCTTATACCGGCTTAGCCCTGATTCTATATCATTTCTTTCTAGAGTGGAATAATAAAACCTCCAAGAAGTGATATAGAGACTTGTACAAATTGATATAAAATGTGGGCTTATCTGCCTTCAGTATTTTTATTTGAAATTATCGCTGACACAGGAAATGTACAAATTGTGGGATATCTCAAAGGGTTCTTCTCTGACATAATAGTGTAAGTATCTACGTGATTCAAAATCATTCATGATTTCTGTCTTTGTCTGGTATATACGTGTTTTGATCCTCTACTTTCTACCTCAGTAGCCAGTTGAAGCTTTACAACAGAACTGTTAAGCCAGATACTAAGTTAAAAACTTGTGGTATAAAAATAGTGTTATTTGCATACTTCTGTGTTTCTATTTTCTTTCTTGAAATTGATATCTGCAAAATATTTCTGAAATCTATATTAAGTCCTCCATTAACGATAGACTTATATGTTCGGGTTTAACTTAAGAAGGTCGTCGTACGTTTAGATCGAGTATAAGTATTTTGTAGGTCTGTACGAGGAGAAAACTCCAATTATCTCGGTATTTGTCTGCTACTTTTACTTAGACTGAGATCACATTTTTTTCTTTTCACCAGCAATTGGAAAAACGATTAGATATGTGAAGTTTTAATTGAGGTGGGAGTCACAATAGACGATTATTCTAACCTTAAACTTAGTGAAAATATAAATAACTGCAAGTGGTGTTTGTGAAGATTATCATGGTGACAAGTTAAAACTTGCTAAGGTACAATAGAAAATGAAATGCTTAGAAGCTGGGAATAAATACTTAAGAATGGTTGTTTAGAGCTAGAGTTAGAAGAGAGAAAGAATTTGAGTTGATGATGAGTAGAAGGCAGAGTAATTCTGTTGACAGGGGCTGGCATGCAAGAAAGAAGCACACATGTGTTGTTGCCTAAATTTTTGAAAGAAATATAGATGTATTTTATCTGCTTTTGAAAAATACCGAGAGTAGAGGAATGTCAGCCACTGGATATGGCGAGGAAACTTTCCTGCATTACCTGGAAAGGTGCTAGCAGCATACAATGAGATCGGAAGTGCAGACTAATTAAAGTATGATTTAAAATCAGCTCTACTAGAGATGTACGAGTTAAGTCTGAAGACTTATTGCAGGGAGTAAAGAAAGTTAGAAAGAATTGCAAATGAGACATTTAAAGGCATTGAACAAGGCTATATGAGTTGCTAGTTAAATAGATAGAAGGATCTAATAGTACTAGAGACAATGACTAAGTTGTAGATTTGATGTTGCAAGAGCAAATTTTAACAAAATTACCTTTCCTACTCCCCCCCCCCCCAGTGCACAGCAGTATGTCTGTAAACTTATACCGCTAGAAACAGGGTTTCGATACCTGTGGTGGGCAGAGCATAGATAGCCCTTTGTGTAACTTTGTGCTTAACAACAAACAACAACAACCTTCCTACTGATATTTAGTAAAATACTTTTCTGTGCATTATTTTTTTGTTTTCTTCAGTATATTTGAAAAGTTGTGAGACGTTTGAAATTGAAAGTAAAAATTTTGAACAGATTGCTTTTGATTATAATATATAGAATGAATACTAAACGTTTTAAAGGACTAATGAAAAGTGTGATTGCAGTGTAAGACTAGAGGGAAAGCAACTAGTGACCCACCGCCAACTCTTGGGCTACTCTTTGCCAACGAATAGCGGGATTGACCATCACATTATAACGCCCCCACGGCTGAAAGGGCGAGCATGTTTGGTGGGAGGGGGATTCGAACCCGCGACCCGCAGATTGCCAGTCGAGCGCCCTAGCCACCTGGCAGCTAGATTTGGATGTGACTGAACATGATTTACAGAATCCAATGGTAGCTACTATGCTCCAAAATATAAACAAAAAATTTAAAATGTTAGATGAAATAAAAATGGATATAAATGAATTCAAAGATATAATAAACGTTTTGTCAGCTACGTATGATGAAATATCCTTAATACATAACAAACATACAGAATATATCAAGATATTGAAAGAGGATGTGTAAAGTTTGAAGTCTAATAATAGTCAAAATAGTGATTTAACTTCAAAAATATTGATTCAAGTTAATGATTTGGAACAGTATGAACGAAGATACGTAATTTAAAGATTCATGGAATAATATAACAAGATAATGAGGAACTGAAAGATATTCTACAAAGAGTAGCTCAAGAGTTTAGTATACCTGATTATAAAAAAGATGAAATATTAATGTCCATAATAGTAAAAATATAGCACCTATAATAGTTAAATTCAGAAGTGTTTTTGATAAAAAGAAATGGTTGAAGAATAAGGAGAAAGTGGTTACACAAAGTCAAATCCAACAAAATATGGGAAAAGGCAGAGTTTATATAAATGAAAATCTAACAGCTGCTAATAAAGAACTGTTTTAAAAGGCAAGAATATTACTAAAGGGAAAAATATAAATTTATTTGGACAAAAAATAGTAATGTGTTGGCAAGGAACTCAGAAATTGGTCATGTAATAAAATTTGAATTGGATTGTAATTTTGAAAATTTATAATTAAATTTGATGTAATCTATGGATGTCAATTTAAGAAATAGTGACTATACTGATATGAATTGTAAAACAAAAGTAGAAATTATAAATGATGTTATACACAAACTGGAACATATTGATGGTGATATTCTGAATTTGTTACATATTAATATGAATATAATTCACAATAAGTGGGACTATTTTTGTATAGTTGCTGGTAAAGTTTTGATATTGTTAAATATATTAATAATCACACATACATTTCTAAAAGAGCACGAAATCCAAAACTATAATTTGGAAGGTTACGAAAAAAATATAAATGTAGAACTAATAAAGGAGAGGGGGGAATTTTAATTTTTTATAAAAATCTGTAGAAATAGTGAAATTAAGTTTGGAAATAACTTATCATGTAATTAATACAAATAATGACAAATGTTTGGCTGTTGTTAAAATAGAGAATATAGATCGAGAACAAATAATTGAATGGCAGTTAGAAGTTGAGAGTTTGGATAAATGTCGCAATGAAGCTGTGGTAGAGGAAACAGAAGTAACTAAATTTAGACGAAATTATTATTATTGGCAGGAAGGAGTGTTGAGGCACAAATGTAATGGGATTGATGCAATAGATAGTAGGGATAAAATATAATTCCTAAACCAAATGTAGACAGACAGTTAGAGTTAGGGTATGATGGAATGTTGGTTGGACATCTAATTCTAGCTAAAACGAAAGAAGAGTGTGATGATAGACCAGAAACCCAAAGCTTGGGATAACATCGAAATAATACCGAGAGCTGAAAGAGGAAATTAATAAACCGAGAGAGGTGAAGGGAAAAAGTAATATGCTGCCAGTAAGAAACAAAATATTTCTAAATCTATGTCTTATTAATTATAATAGTACACAGCAATTTGTTATGTTTACGTTTGTCATGAGTCAATTACTGATAGAAATAAGTACAACCTATATAATGTAGACGGACATAAGAAGGGAAGGCAAAAGGCAAGTATTGTACGGTCATAACAAAGTGGTGTCAAAATGATCTCTAACGAAGTATATACCCCAAACAAATGGGATGTGTGAGAGAGCAAATAGAACAATTAAAGCCATGCTACCTGGTACTGGAGAATCCTGTTGACTGGGATATGACATTGCCTTTTGTGCTATCTGCATATCAAGAAGTCCCTCAACATACAATACAATTTTCCCCCTTTCAGTTATTATATGCCATTGATGATAAGGTTCCGTTAGATTTATTAAATAGTCGAGTCACGAAAAATGTTAGCATATGTGACAAGCTTGAGGTAAAGGTTAGAAAAAAAGACAGAAATTAGTGGATATAGCTACTCAGAAATGTAAGGATAAACTAAAGCTTTGCTACGGTAAGAATGCTGGAGAATGGGAACTTAAAGTGAATATGTTAGTTGCAGTACTGGGCCCAGGACTAAAAATAGTTTAGCAGCAAGATGAATAGCTTCTTTCCCTATAATTAAGTGGGTCAGTAAAGTGACAGATCAGGTACATGTAGAGGATGGAAAGTAGTTGGATGAATGATTCATGTAAA